ACAACGTCGTCATCAGTGGGTAGCCTTGTACTGTTTCAACAAACAATGAATTTGCCCCATCAATCGTTTTCCAGGCGCATTCTGCTGTTTAATGCACGTTCCATTAAAAACAAAATTCACTTCCTATGCTCACTTATCTCACTAGCTGATGCACAAATCATACTTGTGACAGAAGTGTGGCTAATGGAAGATACTCCTGAGTTTAACTACCACATGAGGGATTATAAAAGTTTTACTGGTTGTCATAAGTAAAAGCAAGGTAGTTGCGTCATATACGTTCACAATGTCGTGTGTGCACCAACGATTAATGTTCCCTTGCATAAATACTTCGAAGACTCCGCGTTTGCAAATGATGGTTAGTCAATGGTCACATGTTACTACTCGGATGTATATACATGCACCCCAATTTCAGTGTTGCATAAGTAAACGCACTATAAGATATGCTCTGTCATATAGCAGACCAACCAGCCAAATATCAGGTAATCGGTGGAGATTTCGACATACCGGATCTAGCGTGGACCTCAAGCAATGTGCATATCAAATATGTAGTGACCTGGAGATTCCCCCGTTTGGCTGCCGCATGCTGCGTAAAATATTACAAAATCACAAATTATATTTTCTCGATGTACATAGCAAAATAGCCGCTCGCCTGTTTGAAACGTTGCTCGCGTTTGTTTGAGTCAACAAAGCATCCGCCTTCGAACGGCGCGACGCTCCTCGGCTCCGCGGCCACCTTTGATCTCCGCGCACGCGACCACACCTTTCCCTAGCTAGCTATCTTTCGGTGCCTTAGTTTTAGCACTAGATAGCCTTTCGCCCACTTAATAAATTTTTCCTAGCGTTACTTTTGGTGTTCTCCACTCATCGGAGGTTGGCCTTATTTTCGCGTATTGGTTTTAAAGCGTACCGATCCCGCTTCGCGCTTTATTGGTGACCCCGAATTTTGGTCATTATCCGGTGAGTTTTCGCTAACCTTTCTTTTCAGATTTGGCCACATTTTTTCGCTAACCCGTCTGATTTTCACTTTTCATTTTCCGATCCCTGATACGAATGGATCCAACATGTCAGATCAACAACTAGAAAGGATCACGGAGCTAATACTCACCACTGCCATATTATTAGCATCCACCGAGGTTCTTGGGCACTTTCCTGGTAGTGATCACAGAGTAGCATTATTTTCATTCATTGCTCCCACATGATACCGGATATCAGCCGCGACCAAATTTCAAATACATACCAGAAAAGCCGTCGACTGCGGTCTGTTCGCCAAAGTAATGAGATCTGCTTAATCGGACAGCATTTCCCTTATTGAAGACTCACAAGCCGCTACAAATGTTCTCTACAACAATATATATACATATATATATACATATACATATATATATATATATATATATATATATATATATATATATATATGCATTGATGCATCCGCTCCCACTGTGCATCGACACTGTCATCACAGTAACAAAACGCATATGCCATGTAAAACAAGCATGCAGCTCAAAAAGTTGATAACGGCATATCGTAAAACAAATGACTTTTCCTTCTTTGTACAACACCAAAAGTCTACCACAGCTCCATAATAAAGAGATCGCTGATGAAATAAGAGCCCTCTGCATCCAGCGTAAAACTCGCGATGTAGTCAATATTTAAAAGTGTAGGAATACCAAACGGAGTCAAGACACAATCTCACCGGTTACGACTGATAAGCACATAATATCTGACCCGACCCACACCAGTGAAATCTTTAGTCAGTACTACTGCGCCTCCTTTAACGGGGATAATGACCCTCCAAGATTGGATATACCGCTAGCAACACTTGAGAAACTCACCTGCGGCAAGTTTGAACTCCATGACATACAAAAGCTTGTAAACTAAAGTAGCAGACTTTGACGGACCAAATAATGTACCTCCTGCACTTATCAAACTCGGGGTGTCGACATATCCTTGCTTCTATTCAATGTGTTCACCTTATCCACTAACTATAGTACTGTACCAATGCAGTGGAAAGAAGTCATAATCATACCACGATACAAATTAGGCTCCCGGTTCGAAATCGAGAATTATCGTTCAATAAATTATACATCTAACATATACAAATTAATGGAGCGAGATATAATAATCGCAACGGTCGACTTACTAATGTCTCGTAAGTTAACCAACAACGCTCAACACGGTTTTCTGAATGTTCGTCCGTGCATAACGTACCAACTTGAAATTCCACATCATCTAACTGCGTCACAGGATAACGGCAATTCTGCAGTTGTTGTTTACCCCGATATACACAAAGCTTTCGATCGAATGCCACATAGAAAACTAATATCCAAATTGATGTTATATGGAATCGGGGAACCCCTGCTGTCGTGGTTCAAAGCTTATATACGAATCGAACGAGGGTGCTACGGATTCGGAAAAACAAATAACCAGCAGCAGTCAAAAGTGACGTAGCACAGGATAGTGTTCTTGGCCGTATACTCTTTTTGAGGTATGTTAAGGATATATTTGACGCTGTGAAATTTGGAACACCATACGTGTATGCCGACGACATCTACACTTTTCACCGTGCAACCATAAACGAAACTATCAATATGATTCAGCTCGACCTCCACGCGCTCGAAACCTGGTGCTCAAAATAGGGAGGTATTGACGACAGATAAATGTTACGCCATGTCTTACAAATGCGACGTAACATCTAGTAGTTCAACCATTTGTGATAAGTAAATTAATATATGCCATATTGTTTGTGACCTGGGACTGAGATACACATACTCGCTCAACTTCTCCGAACAAGTAGCCTACGCTACTGCAAACGACAGACAAAGCAATGGAATGTTATTTAGAACTTCAAAGTAAAAGAATCTATACTCTGCGCCTATTCATTACTTTCATATCCTCTTTTGAAATACTGCTTGGTGGTGTATAGTGGCGCAAACAAACGAGACCGCATTGTATTAGAAAATTTACAACGAACATCCACAAAAGCCTTAATAGGAACATCATAGAAATTAGAATATTCCGAATGATGTGAGAAAGTCAACCTTGATCCCATCTGGTTGAGGCGAATGAAGCGCAACCTATATCCTATAACATCCTGCACAAGAAAACGCATGTTTCCAACCTTAACATGGCAATAATACAATCACCATCATACAACACATGAAACAAGTAACCTTCGGCAGTGGAATGCAGATCGAAGACCACCAGATCCGCTAGCTTCTTCCTTAACAGATATGCACGAATCTGGAACAAATTGCTAACCGATATCCATGCTAGCAATTTAGAGCAGGAATCGCAAAAAAAGGACCAGCAAATACTTAACCGTGCAAAATGTGTTCCCCCTTTTCGGATGCCACATAACAATCAGCCAAGCATACGAACAAGGTTCAGGATGTATATGATCCGGAAACCAGTCTACAACAGGAAGCAAATGTTGCAGTAGTAAGGCCCCTTTTACTCACCGTCTTCATCTTTCTTCCTCTTTCTTACCTATACCAGCGATAAAGTTGTCGTCAAAAAGTGTGTTATGAGTGAGGAAGTCAATCCAACATACCTCCACATTCACCATCTTTATTGTTGATGTCCCTAATACTTTTATTGCAGTTTACTATTACGTTTATCTACTATAGGTGCTCCTATTGCTCCGGTTAGTGTCACGACCAGAATTCGATACTACTAAATAGCCATGAACAAAGCAGCTATCCAATGTGCTAAAAGAAAATTGACTCCTACTTTATAGATTCCGGTATTAATATTCTCAAGAGACCTACCAAACTCGACATAGACATCTTGTGCAGCATCAGGTAACACATTAAAACAACAAGCAAGTTTGATACCCTATCAAAATTGAGGACGATTTTCATTGCTGTTGTACATTTGTTGATCATTCGTGATCGTTGAAGTAGAAAATGTTTTATTTACCTGAACATGTCGTCATAGACGTGTCTTGCCCGAAACGGGAATATACAATTGATTTATCTTTCGAGCGGTTCCCTCGCTGATTGCAGCCACCGCATTTTACTTGATTTCCTGGGTTTTCTAATCCTTCTCTATCCTTCAAGGCTATACTATGGTAAAAGAAACCGAAGCAACCACGCTCAATTCGGTGCTCAGAGAATGAGGTACTGGAGGAACCGATACTTGAACCTACTCAAGCATCTTTGGTTGCTTTTCATTGTGTAGTGATAACAGCCCTCGTGCTTACCACAGTTGATACTCCAAGGTCCGACAATGAGCTTCTAGCTGCTCTCATCAAACGCTACTGGTGGAGCCGATTCCCTTCATGATCAATGTGTACGACCAGATCTCTACTCCCAGCTGGGTCTATTTAAACCTATTTAAACAGTGAGGAAACCAGTCCTGAAGTGCGGCGTTCGAAGCAAGCAACATCGAGATCCTCCGTTCCCTTTTCCACATTGGAGAAGATATTGCTAACGCAATATGTAGGATGATTGTGATCCTCTTCCACTGTGAGCTTTTGGCCCAAACTATTAGCCATTTCACTGTGAACTGATATGATCACGTGACACCCATATCTATTCTATGCCGTACACTTTACTGAGTTGACATATGTTAACCATCATCATACTTGCGTTTTACGACATCGCTCGTCCATAACCATGCTGTGTTTCGTTAAGTACCGAGTAATCATCACTCCTTTTTCGTCCCTACTACGACTAACTGCCCATGTCCTCCTTGCCAGTTGACACATGACAATGTTGAGGCATTCTTCAGTCAGCTCTGTAATATGTTTACTCCATTCTTACATCAAATGCATGTTGCACACTTTTCACCGTTTGGACTTTATAATGTAGTTTGCCAATTAAGCCTACACGCGTCGCGTGTGGTCAGCTATCTTTCGGTATTTCACCCACTACGTAATGAGGTTCCAGTCATCTGTACCGTTCAGAAGCCCCCCTCGTCGGTTATCAGAGCTGGCTACTACAGATTGTTGTCGCTAATTCGTACTGGAAGCATACAATGCTGAAGCACATGATGTCATTTTATATCGCTTTGTAAATAGTATCGTTTCCCACTGTTCGATTTGTTCCTGAATTTGGTTACAAGATGTGTTCCTGAAAACGAATCCGCTGAATTGCATAACATATAAGGCGTATAGCGATTTATGCGGTGTTAAGCTGTTGAAAACAGAAGCGCTAGAATGCATGTGGACCCAAAGAGGAAAATGAGCGGAAAACTTTCGACAAACAATTGTTTTCGATTAGTTCATCATCAGGTCGTTACAATAATAGACGCTAAGTTGGAAAAGGTGATGATGATGAACTAATCGAAAGCAATTGTTTGTGGAAAGTTTTCCGCTCATTTTCCTCTTTGGGATTCACAAAAGTGAGTATATGTGGACTTCAAAAGTGTAAAAGTGTATTTTTTGGTAAAAAAGGTAAGAAATCGAAGTTTTCTGTTTACAGTGATTGACACGGGAAGGCTTGCTGAAAAGATTTCCGATGAGAAGCTCTAGGAATTGTAATCGAATATTTCAGAAGTGCGGGGATTGAACGTCTATTCACTGCTGTTGCTGCAGCTTGCCTAACATGGCTTGGAAACGATTACGAATGAGCAGCGAAACATCCATATATCGCTCAGTGCAGTTCTCCATGCAATTTGACTTGACCAGGTCAATCTTATTTGGATTGTATCCGGAGAAACATCTATCCCAACACAAAGAAGTTAGTTGATTAACTTTTGTTTGGAAGCCCGCACGATGCTGCATTAGTTGTACGAAATTTTGTAATTCCGTATCCACCGATTCGGTACCAGTGTTTGGCGGCGATGGGGAAAAGGCAGAGTCGTAGCTAAAAAGTAAAGTGAACAGCACACTCAGAACAGGTGGCAATATAAAAAGGTTCCTATATGGTATTGATCGAACGCGAGGTTCCGTTGAAGTGTATGCTTGCAGCGGATTATTTAAGTTATCAAACTGGAATGATGTTCAAAAGTCCTCCTTGTGGGAGTTTGTGTGCTCTAGTCGGCCAGTAGCCGATTCGTGCAAACCGTTCTGTGTAACTCAAACGCCGCCGATTCGAATTTGGTGTGGGTGCGGGTGACCCGCGCAGTATCGCTAACGCGCAATCGACTGGTGTTCACGTGGCAGCAAAGCGTCAGTGTGGCGTACTGTCAATGCTCCAAAGCCCAATTGTCATCTAAGAGGCATGAGCAGTACATCGGCACACTGTACAGACGTTTCGCCACCCCGCGACCACTGACAATCGCGTTTGGACTGTGTATACCGCGAGGTCACCGGCAACCACGCGGATTCGAATCTGTGACCCCTGGATTGAAACGCAAGTGCGCAATCCTTTTGGTCATCGGCCAGTTGTCATCTAGAAGAAACGAATACTGTATGATGGGATCAAGCAGATATTCACATCTATGCAACTCGATGGGAACATGAGCCAAAACGTTACCAAATCAAAAAACCGTCTGTGACATGTCAATACTTTAGTCATTTTGGCGTTCTAACATGATATTGTAAAAATCGTATGATTCATAGTAACTCGTCGTCAGCGGAAAATCGTGCTCTGGGTCCAACAGTGGAAAACGTGACTCCAGTAGTGCCTTGAACCACTGCACCGTGTTTGACTCCACTATGTGCTGCCAAATTGCTCCAAGCATTAACCACTCGTTGTTAGAAGCAAAGTAGTGCAAAACTCAGGCCACAAGCTTGTACTGGTATCTGCGTGTATTGTATAGTATTCTTAGGTGCAATAGCGACCTCAGCGTTCAGTATGAGGTCGACTCCCACCCGACGATAGGGCCCGTGTACAGCAAATTTCTCGCGCCGGTCCTCGTACGGAAAATCCCGTAAACTAAGGAACAGCCAGGTGACAAGATGTTGGACTTGTTCGATAATCCTGTGCCTCGCCTCAAATGATTGGTCAGCAGGCAGTTGAGCTGTACTCTAGCATCGGTCTTATGATGGAGGAGAAGAAGCGGGCAGTGGCCTCTTCATACCAAGTGCAGGTGCGCTTGAGCACAAAAAGTAGGCGTAGTTCATTTCGGTGTGACTTGTTCGTGCTGTCCACAGATTGAAAATCTGCGTTACATATATTATGTCATCGGAATCATGGTGGAATGTGAAAACAGGATCGGAATAAAAAGGGAAAAACAGGTAATTTTTTCATCCAGTATTCCACTAAGAGTTTTGGATTTTTACAGTTTGATTTATTTGGAGAGGGAAAGGGAATTATCGCAAAACGCCGAAATAGACGCCCGCCACGGATATCGGTCTTGAGCCATAACTTCCAGTCTCCAACCAGCGACCCTCTAAAGCTCTGAGGCCCCAACGAGAGAGTCGAGAACAAACGACAAACGCCAACTGTTTCGTCAGCTTTTTTATGCCGTTTCTCCAAGCTGTAGGCTGTCCCTCGCCTCCTACAGCCCTGTCCACGAACAATGCACGACGTGGAAGAAGTAGAGTGGGCATGCGCAATATGTGTCCAAGCCATCGCAATTGGCGCAACGAGGTCATCTCCTCGAGTGAGTGGCTGCCTCCACGAAAGACGCGCTGCCTAACTTTCACATTGGTTACATGGCACAGCCACCACACATGGACAACTGAATGTAAATAATGGTCCTCGAAGGCAGCCGGCGTAGGCCAACAGTTCGAACAAGCCATGTCTTGCAAATGCACAACGGTAGAGCGCGTACAGTCGCACAATAAATACGCCCTTTGGTGAAGAGACGAATGTCATGGAGGCGTCAAAGGTGCCTCAGTCGGAAGAACTGGAGATGACTTCTTGAGATACGCATCGAAATCTCTTCCCCGACAGCTCCACCAGCAATGATGCAACTACCCAGGTAGACAAAATTATGCACAACCACCAGTGTCTCGCCACCAACGGTGAGGGCATGTAAAGGTACCTGCAAGTCTTGAAAAGTGATTTGCATTTGGATAGGGAAAGGTGCACGCTATGCCTCGACGCTTCGATCACCAAGCGGTTAAGTGCAAGTTGGACGGCCTACGGGCCGTCGCCCAGAAAGACGATATCATCAGCGTAGTCTAAATCGACAACTCGACTACCTGGGAGGAGCAAAACGAATCTTTCAGAGCATTTTTCATGGTATCCTCAAAAACAGAAGTATAATGGAGCAGTTCCAGTCGATTTGGACAGCATCTTGTACCCACAGCTTCAATAATAAATCGTGTAAATCATCCATAAGAGCAAGTAGCCCAAAAGTTAAGGAGTTGGAACAAGCCAATCCAATCTAACAGCGTCTTTAGGTGTCGTGTTTATCTCCAAAAAGGGTTGTAACACTTGTACATTACATTTTTACTACTGTACTTTCCTATTCCTATCCACACTATCTATTGTGCAGTTTGTGTTACTCAACTCAATCAACACACTTCTCCAGATTCGGTTCCGCGTTAGCGCTCCGGTCTGCTGCGTGCGTCTTCGTTGTATGTACTCAGCGTGGTGATCTTCGCCCAAAGGCTAGAAACTATCGTCTTGATCGTGTCTTGGCAAAGGAACAAACGAAAGGCGTATGAACTGATCAATCAGTCACCGGCTCCCAATGGGCGCGATTCCCTGAATTCGCTCCGCTGCCTTGCGGACAGGCTATTCAGCCAAAGGCTCGGGGTGGTGTCCCCTAAGTCAACACCCTACTTCGGCTTGGGCAACCGGGTAGTATTTCGCCCTCTGACGAAACCGTGGACATTGTTGTGTTGTGTTTTCTTTTACTATTTCTGTACCTTGTTTTGAGTTCCATGGTTTCCGATGGTGCAATGTCTATTCATAGACTGTTGCAAAAATATATATAAATATATGATCGCGCTACGCTATATACCGGATCATACCGCTAGTTCTGTAATTACTCGAAATCGGAAGCCTACCGAGGGTCAGAGACAGCATTTGCCTTAATCCACAATAACAACTTTCTGTAGTGTTACCTCGTCCGCTACATATTTGGTGACCGCGTTTTGCATTTATTTTTGGTTTGACTTAACATTTTTGGAAGCTCAGAACTCTTCTTTTGTATTCGTCATGAATTCTGCACAAACTTCCCCTTCAAGGTCACACCGGAAAATGTTGTTGGTTTTTCTGCGCTGCTTTCGATACGTATAATCCTCGTGTTTAATTGGAAGCACTTTTCGTTGCCGCCGTAGTACGTCGCAGTCCAGTGTTATTCATTGTCGCTGCACATATCCCCACTCGTATCGACGCTGATATCGCACACTTGCTTGATCCAATGCTGGCTGATACTCCTTACAACAGGCTTAAATCTGCTACTCTGAAGCGCCCCTCCACTTACGATAAAGTCCGACATCAGAACCTTCTTTCTGGTGTTAAGCTCAGTGACTGCGCACCTTCACAACTCTTTCGCTACATGATCTCCTTAGCCGGTCCTACCAAGGTCGACGATGGCGTTTTACATCAGCCTTGGATAAAATGGCTCCTAAGAAACACTACAGCGATTCTCACCTTGTCCGCCGATGACTATCCTTAGACAAGATGGCAGAGACAGCAGATAAAGTCTACAAGTTTTTTCAAGCATCCAGTTTGTCACGCTGTCGATTCGCCTGCGAGTCACTTCAGGAAACTATTCACCCGATTCATTATTCCACAGGTTGTCGAAATCTGAGCTCCACTCTCGAGCATGTGGCGCCCTCACAGCGAAGTCGAAGACCAGTTTCACGAGACAGACGCAACTTTTCGCGGAACGCGGCACGTATTGTTACCACCACCGCCATTTTGGTAATGTAGCCAGGAATTGTCGCCAGTTTGCACTCGCCTTAAAGCATCCAGCACGCCGCAGCAGAGAAATGATCAAGGCAATCAGTAACGGTGGCGGCTGCAGCTGAGCCATCATCTAGTCGCTTGCTTTATGTCCAAGACTGTGTAACCAGTCTCTTCTTCCTGGTTAACACCGGTGCCGAGGTAAACGTCTTGCCCTAAAGAACGAAAAAATGCTACTTACTCCTATCAGAACTATGCTTCATGCGACTTATAGCACCAAGATCCACATGTACGGCCATAAACTGCTAACCCTTGATCACGAACTCAGGCGATCCTTTCCATTCGCCCTCGTCGTCGCGGACGTCCAAGATCCCATCATTGGTGTTGACTTTCTTATGAAGCACAACCTGATTGCAGACCTATGCTGCAGGAAACCCTATGAAAGTATCACATCCGTTACCGTCCCGAGTAGAGTTGCCTCGACCAGCTCAACTTGACTCCGAATGTCACTGCCCACCGATGGCCTATTCAGTGAACTGCTTCATGAAGTTCCCGCTTTATATCAGTCGTACGAGGAATTTTTAGACCCAAAACATCAGATTGTGCATCACATCATTACTATCGGACCTCCAGTTGCTGCTCGAAATTTCACAGTCACCGTCCGACCAACTCGCGATTGCTAAGGCTGAATTTCAGCATATGCTGAGTCTCCATCATTCGGCCGTCTGATAGCTCATGGTCTTCTCTGTTCCATATAGTTCTTTAAACTGGGGACAATGTGGATGTCAGCATGTTCTGAGCAATAGTATTATTGCAGACAAATATCCTATTCCCTACATTCATGACTTTTCCACCGGTTTATACGGCAAATTTATTTTTTTCTAGGATCGATATTATCTGGGCGCACTCTGAGATTCCTGCTGTCCCCGAAGATATTCACAAAAGCGCTATAACAACACCTTTAGGCTTTTACGAATTCCTCTACATACCTAGTGGTTTTTGAAACGCTGCACAGACCTTCCAGCGGTTCGCAGAATAACGCCTTAGGTCTGATTTTATTTACGTATACACTGACAACATACTCGTGGTTAGTTCGAATCGTGAAGAACACTTGT